CCCAGCTCCTGAATTAAGTTATTAATAAGTCCCCTCTTTTTTTTTTTTTTTTTTTGCATTCCTTGGAATTAGATTCATCAACCCCCTATGAAATATATAGGAAAGGAATTGACATTTTACACATGAGGAAAATGAGGCCCAGAGAATACAATAAACTCATAACTATATTACTCAGAAAGAAGCAAATCCAAATTTTAAATTAAAACAGTAAAACCTTTGCTCTTTCTAAGATTAGTTTTTTTTTTTCATCTGCACAAAGCCTTGAAAGGCAGCATTTTTGCATCTTCAAACATTCTGATTTTGAAGAACACAAATTAAAAGATGCTTTTACCTTCAGCCTAGCTATATCCTTACAGCTTATTTGGGTCTTCTGTTGGCAGCATAGAGTTGGTCTGTTTTTTATCTTTTCAGCCACTTCTTGTCTTTTGATTAGAAAATTTAATCCATCTATATTCTAGGTGTGGTTTTTTTTTTGGTTTTTTTTGGTGGTGGTGGTGGTTCTGAGGACTGAACCCAGGGCCTTGTGCATGTGAAGCAAGCACTCTACCAACTGAGCTATATGCCCAGCCTCAAGGTGATTTTTGATAAAGAACTACAGGAAATTATCAAATCACAAAGATAAATAAAGAAAGAGGAAGAAAGGAATAAAGAAGCTACAAAATAACCAGAAAACTGATGTTGTTTATATCAACCAACAGCTGCCTAAGTCTGGATTCAGCCAATCTTGGCCATATTTCCCCCACAAAATTGCAAACGCAGGTTTCAGGTTCTGTCTTCTGTGCTTATTCCAGGGATTTCAAAGTGTATTCTGCCAGACTCCAATAGTGGTGAGACCTGACATGTCAGATAACCCGCTGAGGAGAAGCTTCCCATTTCACCTCTACCTCAGTCTAAGTGATTCCAAATCACCCTAACACTGGTTTCTCTACACTTCCATTTCCTACACCTGACATTGAAAACAGTAATCCTGATCACACACCAGGACCTGATGAGATTGATTCTGTGATGGAAATTTCTTGGGAAGTTTTTTTGCCATTACTATTTATACCTATATGCCTAGAATGTTGGACAAATGATTTTTTTTTAATTTTACTTATAGTAGAGCTGTCCTTTCAGCAGAACAGATATAAATCCACAAAATGGTATCCTAGAGCCTAAATTAAAAGAAGATTATGGGCTAGAGTTGTAGCTCAGCAGCAGAGCACTTGCCCACCATGTGGGAAGCCCTGAGTTTGATCCTCAGCACCACATAAAAATAAGTAAGTAAGGGCTGGGGATATAACTCAGCTCATAGAGTGCTTGCCTCGCATGTACAAGGCCCTGAGTTCAATCCCCAGCATCATACACACACACACACACACACACACACACACAAAAATGCATACAAAAAAGTATGCATTCAAAATAAATAAGTAAAAGAAAGGTATTGTGTTCAACCACAACTGGAAAATAAATATTAAAAACAACAATAAAACACTTTTGAGGATTCTTAGAGCTAGCCTGGCTCATGGGAAAAGAAAACATGTTACCTTTGGATCTTTTCTTGGAATGGAATATCTACAGTCCTAGATCATCTTTGGGTATACATATCTTCCAAGTCATACTTACTCTCTTTTTTCCCCCTTTCAAAGGAAACCTATTCTAAATACTGGAAAATATCAAAATAAAGATGAATCTATCAAACTAGTTGTTTATCTTGTCTGTGTGGTTTCTGCCTTCTTACAATATTTTTCTCCAAAGAAATGAAGGCCCTATGGAAAATAATCTTAGGGAAGGAAAACTAGACAACACGTGATAACTTCCAAGGAGCAAAGTCTGCAGAGGTGTGGTTGAACTTATGTGTATCCCATTTTATTCTTTGAAAATAACCCTAGTGCGTAAGTCGAGAATTAGCCCACAATGATTAAAAACCTTGGTTAATGTGTTAGGGTTCTGCAGAGAAACATAATCAGTAAGTTATATGTACATGTACATGAGGGGATTAACTGCAGGAATTGGCTCACATGATTATGGAGGCTGAGAAGTCCCATAATATGATGTCTATAAGCTGGGGACTCAGGAAAACCAGTGGTGTCATTCAGTCAAGATCCACAGGCCAGAGAATCAGGGGAGGTGATGGTGTAATTTCCAGTCTGAGGTCCAACACCTGAGAATCTCGTGTAAATCCCAGAGTCTGAAGTCTCAAGAACCAGGAACTCTTATGTCCCAGGACAGGAGAAGGTAGATATCTCTGCTTAAGAAAAGAGCAAATTGACTTTTCCTCCATCTTTCTCTTCTATTTGGATGGTCCCTCAATGGATTAGATGTTGTCGACCTACATTGATGTGGGCAGATCTTTACTTAGTCTACTGATTTGAATCCAAGTCTTTTCTGCATAGTCTTTTTAATACAGATGAAGAATCACAGGGAAATATATTATCATGATTCATTACAAAAGGAGATTTTCATTATTATTTTCTATGTTTTATAGACAGCCGAAATGGTGCAAAATATGTTAGATGGTAGTGTAATGGTCAGTAGCTTATGCGCTGTAGCTCCACCTACTGACAAACCTTACCACAAACCCGCTGGCTCCAACTAGGTACTCAGAACATTGTGGGTATTATCTTGCTCTTTGTAGGTTCTTCATAAACATTTATCAAAATAATGAATATGAGTTGGAAATTTCTAATAAAATGTGATATTTCTTGCTCCCAGAAACCCTCCTGACACACATCATAAAGATGGTTATCATAAAACATCGAACACTGTTGGGTTCTGGTGATGTATTAGACACAGTATTAAATGTCATATAACAGTGTATAGTAGTCAGTTTCCCACCACTATAACAAATACCTGGGATAGTAAACTTATACAGAGAAAAGCCTTATTTTGGCTTACAGTTTTAGAGGTTTAGTCCACAATTAGTTGGCTCCATTGCTTTTGTTCCTGTCTCAGGATAACTCATCATATTGGGGAATACATGGTGGAGTAAAGTTGCTCACTTCATGATGAGCTAAAGAGAAAAAAAAAAACAGGAGCTGAGACCCACTGTTCTTTCCAAGATACAACCTTGATGACCAGAAGACTGCACAGTAGCCTTGCTTCTTAAAGTTTCCTCCACCTCCAAGTAGCACCATGTTGGAGACCATGCCTTTACCACGAGGGTCTTTAGAGGACACTTAGGATCCAAACTATAGCATAGTGTTTCTCTAAGAGAGGTCCCAGACCAGCGACATGAGAATCATCTGAGATCTCATCAGGAATGTAAATACTCTGGCTCCACTACAGACCTACCTGGGGTATGAACTCAGAATTTTTTTACATTAACAGCCTTCCAGGTGGTCCTGATACCTGCTAAACTTTGAGAACCTCCACTTCATATGAATTCTCTCATTTAATCCTCATAGCTAATAATAATTACCAACCATCCAATCATCCATGACTAAGGTTGAACCTGAAGAGCAGAAGGTTGAGAAACTTGCCCAACATAGTTCGGCTTCTAAGAAGTAAAATCAGGCTCAAACTCAGCTTCTAAGGGGTGGACTCAGGATCTGGAGCTCACTAGCCACAGTGGCCTCCATACCATGTCTTCTGGTATGTATGGAAGTAATGTACATGGTGATGGCTTTATTTCTGGCAAAGTCCCAAGGAATTGCAGGACATCACATAGCAAAAGGCAGGGGGTGGGAGGGTCTCTTCTGGGTCTCTTTTTATAAAGCCACCAATATCAGTCAAGGGGGGTTCCCACCCTGATGACCTTATCTAATCCTAATTACCTCCCAAAGGCCTATAAGTACTATCGTCCAATTAGGTTTCCACCTTCTTGATACCTCACAATTGAGACTAGACTTCAAGAGGTGTTTCTAAAGGGGCAAACCATATTCAAACCACAGCAAAATGTCACATTCAGTAGTCCTCAGATAAATAAAACAGTTAATATTTGATGTCATTGTGTTGGCTCTATTGAAAGCAAACTTTTTTTTAACATAACCTTCCCATTCTTATCCACATATGCATATAATAATTCAGGACTATGCTTGTCATTTTCTAAAAGTGTTTCTGAAAAGTAGATGATGTGATTCGACTTAGAATAGTCTTCTGATTTTACAGATTTCCTTTTTTTGAGTAATATTTAAACATGCAAACTCTTCCTGGGAGTACAGCTGTGTCGCGTTTCCTGTGTATGAATGCAGAGATGAAGAAGTGCTGTGTACATGGCCCTTACCACCAGGTCTCCCCTACCAACATGTCTCACGGGGAAGCCCACTTGGAGCAATTGTCAGTTCAAATAAATGGGTTATCTAAGAGTTCCCTGAGTTTGCAAAAGCCTCCACCCAAAAGAGTGGGTTCTGTGATGATTTACACAACAAACAACAACATGGCATGGCCTATCCAGATTGACCCAGGAGACAACCCTTGGAAAGAAAAATTCCCTCCATGAACTAGGCAACCAGGGAGCAAGAAATGTCTAGTTTCTCAGCAGGTATCACCGAAAAAAATTCTTGCCCTAGAAGAGGAGGTGAGTACTTACGAAAATGCAGGGTGATCGAGTAGTTTTGTGATGGTTTTCTCTCCCGGGTCACTCACATAAAAATTTAACAAATAGAATTTCTGAGGTTGCCAGCTCTTCAGTGAATAATATTCAGTCAATAATTATTCTCTCACTGTTTTCTTACCCTCCTTTTCTCCTTGCTAATTTCTATTTCTCGCCTGCATCCCGCACAGGCGGTGGAAATGGAGTTCCTCTCGGTGGAATGGGCTGGCTGAGAAATAAAAGCTAAGAAAAATAGAAGGACAAAAAAAACCCCACAGGACACAGAAAG